GATATCTGAAAAAATTTTGATTTTCGATAATCGATCAATAAGTTTTACTATTGATCGATCATTGGCCGATGATCGATCATCGGCCCATAATTGACCATCGGTCGATAGTCGATCATCGGCCGATAGACGATCACTGCCAAGCAGTTGTCACGTGACAACCACGTAACAACTGCGAATTTTATTTACTCCGAAAAAGGCTTTTAAAATACTTTCGGCTCGGGCGGTTTCGAAGCAGCGACCTTTCGTTCAGTAGCCCGACGCGGTACCTCTGCGCCACAAAGGGAAGTGAATACTCCGAACTTAGACTTTGTATGCAAACGTGGGTAGTGCGAGGGTTCGCCGCTCTGTTACGCTCTGTCAAGTGTAGTTTATAGTTGGTGATGCTTCCACAAGGTGGCGCTTGAGGTCGCCGTCGCCGCACCAATCAGCGTACTCCCCGCCTACGTCGTTGACTCGTGGGAAAGTGTGGGGACACGCCGCTGGATGGCGCCATGTGCCGTGTGGTTGGTGATATTCCCACAAGATGTCGCGAGTCCTGCGGCTTATCTTATCACTGACCTTCGGTCTGTTGACATGCTCGTAAGGTGTCGTATGACCCAGGCGACGAACTCTCTATGCCATTCGTGTCGTGAAGTTCGAACTGTCGAGGTGTTTGCGAGCGGTCGTCTGACTAGTTGCACGGAAGAACACACTCGCTGGAGCGAGATAGAAGTCTGCACTGGAGACCGTAAGACAAACAACGACTTCTTTGTGACTGCACTGGAACTGCTCATCGATCTGATTGTGTTCGGAAAGTTCCCTCCCTACGAAGTGGACCCAGTTGTGTTCCGTGTAGTGTCCCGCGTTTACGAGCACTACGAGGGAAAGGACAAGGAGTGGCCATCGCACGAGGGTCCTTTCACATTCTTGTCGGGATGGGTGAGTAAGGTGATGTCCAGAGTGACCGAAGCGAAAACGACGGACGTGGTGGAGTTCCTCTCGGACACGGTGCATACCATCAAGCGGTCAGTGCGGTGCAATTATCACATCGAAGCAACCTAATTTTATCGGCTGGCCGCGGATGTTCTTCGATACAGGCTGGTCACTGCAGATAGTGTGGACTCGTGGAAATAAATCGTCATCTTAATTTATTTGTGTTTCATTTTGTCGGATAGAAAAGATCGGGCCTCGCTATCGGCCCGGTCAGTCTTGTGTTGACCGAGTGCACGATCGGTCTGTAGAATGAGCAATCAATTTTATGTGAACCTTTTCTCCAATGCCTCTAGCGAATTATTTCACGATAATACTTTAAGTAAGTTTAAGGTACAGCTGTCCCAAAATATCCTTTTAAATGAACCGTATGAGGTCGCCCTAGAGGAATTAAATTTTCCATTTAGCATCAAGAATGTGACGAGGCCATCTAGCGAGATCTATTGGTCAGACCAACGGACGCTGGGCATGTGGAATCCAGCAAAAAGATTCGAATCCCTGCAAAACAAGACGTCCTCTCGTTGTTGGGAAGTGGGTTGAGAGACTTGTTCGGACCCAAAGCGAGCCTCGTTCTAAAAGAAAGCTTGTATTCCATAACCTTCCAGAGAAACAACGCTTTGCACATGTCGTCTCTCTTAGCCGAAAAACTTGGCATTTCAGAGCAAATATTTGGTATAGGTCAGTCTATGGAAGGCCGTCCCGTAGAGGAATTGACGTTCGATAAAGAGGTTGAGATAGAGCTGACAAGAGTTAAACACGTCATGACACAGGACCGTATTGAGATTCTCGAGGGCTTCTACGAATCGGCAGAACACCTCATTGATGCGATAAACAGTGCGTACCAATCTACACTCAAACTCCCTCCCCCAAAAATGTTGCTTCGTCATAACCCCTACATAAAACTCGTAGCATTGCAGTTGCATCACAATGGATATATATTGATGAATCAGCACTTGTCACACATGCTCGGATTTGGTGAAAAGACCGTGTATACCTCCTTTACCGTGGCAGACCGTGAAGTCATATTATATCCAAATAATTACATTTTTACGTATTGCGATATCATAGAAGCGGAACACGTTGGTGATGTGAAAGCCCCTCTTTTGAGAGTCGTACCTTTCGTGGTGACTAAGCGAAATGAGATGATGTCGTATTCATTCAATTTGTTACAATATAAGAGGGTGATCGTAAAGGAAGTCAACACCATTTGTCTGGAGCTCGTTGGTGAGAAAGGAACTTACATTCCATTTCTAGACGGTTCCGGTCGTGTCGCAGCAACCCTGCATTTTAGAAAATGCACGTAAAGTCTGCACCGAGCTGTGTGGACCATTTTTCCGGTTCCGGAGAGAAACATTTGCCGCATTTCGTGTCCGGGCCTTTGTTCCAAGTGGGGAGCGGTCTACTGTCCGACATCTATCAAAGAATATCGTAGGTGTTTACAAAGACAGTAGCCCCGTACCTCGGTCGAAAACTCGTGGCCACTGGCAGAGACGCAGCAGAGCGCGTCAGACAAGGTTCCTCACTTCGGGATGCCCTCAAAAAAGGAATTGGCAAGACGTATCGAAACACGAGGGACGAGCTTCTGCAAAAGCTCTCCGGTGCAGGTCATAAAAGAAAGAAGACCGAGAAACCTTCCTCAGTCTGCCCACGAGAAAAGACACGGAAGGGTCTAGACTTTTTTGACACCTAGAGAATGTCGAGCGGTGTCTTTACCCTTCACGAACGATCCTGTTTGTGCACAACCGGTGAACTAGAACTTTTCTAGCTGCCGCCTACTTCGTTTGCCCCGGAAAAATCGGAATATCTTGAGTTCTTTCCCGTCGCTAGTGCAACCTCCACGTCCATTTTGGAATTTCACGTCCCTTCTTTGGGTCCACACTTTTACGATTTGAAATCGAGCTTCCTTCACATTCAATCTAAAATCGTTCGAGCTAATGGCGATCCTGCGAGCACTGTTGCAGTCGACGGGTCGGTTACGAACGATAAAGTGATTCCGCTTCAGTCCTATGGAAGCTCCCTCTTTCAATACCTACACATTTATCTGAATCGAACTCTTGTCAGCCAGTACGAAAACTATGCCTATCGTTCATATCTTGATATTCTGCTTAATGCAAACCAGGTAAGTAGAGATCATTCTCTTTCTGCGATGCTCTGCGAAAAGGACCCAGTCAATACATCGGAAAAGCTGGAAATTCCGCCGGATGCCAAGGGGCTTGCCGCTCGCTTCAAGCGCACCGAGGGATCTACCCTTTGCGACATGTTCTGTCCGATATTCAGCGACATTTGCCAGCAAGAAAAGCTCCTACTTAACGGGGTGGACATCCGCATCGTGCTGCGACAAAATACCGAAGATTTCAGACTCTTGGCTGCTTCGACGATTCAACAAAAGCACATTGTTCAGCTTCCTTGCATCGTTCTGTACATTCGACGAGTCCAAGTGGCCCCGACAGTCCTTGTCGGAATCGAAAGGCGATTGCAATCTACTCCCACATCCTACCTGGTACGTGGAGTGGAGATCAAAACCAGAACCGTTTCTCCCGGTGTGTCACATATCGTTCTCGACGACCTCTATCCTCATCGGGTTCCATCTAAGCTCGTCATCGCGTTCGTAAAGAGTGAATCGTTTCAGGGAAGTCGCGAACACGACCCCTTCAAATTTGAACACTTCAATCTGAAAACGGCCGTACTAGACGTTGGAGGGTCTCAGCAGACGGAAAATTTCGATTTTAATCAGGATCTTTATATGAAGGCCTATATGAACTTCCTGCATTGACTCAGTCGAAAAGACGTTCCGTTCTCTAAATGTGCCTTCTCAAAAGACTCTTTTCTTCTCTACTACACTTTGACTCCCGACAGGGAAGAGCAGAGTTTATGACCAATCCTCACAGCCAACGTGAGACTCACCCTGACTTTCAAACAAGACCTAAATAAGGCAGTCACGATCCTGTTCATGTCAGAAACACCACGCGTTTTGGAAATTGACAAGGAGAGACGGGTCAGGATCGCTAATTGAAGAAATGGAAGAACACGAATTTTATTCGATGTTTGCAGGCAACCAGTGTACGCGACCCTGGTTTCGCGGTACTTTTTCTTGCGACGAGATTGGCCTGGAGAGACCAAGCCAGGGTCTTTACATACTTAACACGGCACCGAGATCTTCTTCCGGCGAACACGGGGTTCTTTTTTTCATATCTCCAAAGGACAATTCGATTAGTTATTTTGACAGTTTTGGTATGATTCAAATAGACGAAGAATTTTACGACTTTATCGGAAACGTTTCCAGCTTCTTCTTCAACAAAAAGAGAATTCAAGGATTCAAGTCAAGTACGTGTGGACTTTACTGTCTATACGTCGGCGCTCTCCTGTGTTGTGGTGTACCACTCCGCGAATGCACCAAGGCGTTCTCGCCAACCGATCATCGATGGAACGATCGTTTGATATCTGTACTTGTGCGGAAACAATTTCCATCTCCCAAGTTAGAGCTATCCTGCTGCAGCGTTTTGTAATCTCTTTTCAGTCAAATAAAAACAAACACAAAAAGTAAAGCATGAATCGTTTTATTGCATGCATTCATATGCATTGAAAACGCTCTACATAAAAAAACAGACATGAATACACACTTACAATATAACATATTATAAGAATACATTAACAAAACAATTTCAAAATAATAAAAATTACAGTGTCGGAATAACATTTTTATCGAGTACATAGGGTGGGGTGGGGGCGACATTTCCAGGATTTGAAACATATCATTACTCCCTTCATCCCAAAAGAAAAATAAATACACTGCCGCGATTACATTTTTATCGAACACACCCGGTTGTCTTGGAGGAGGACATTTCGCCGAGTCTGAGATGTCCGTAAGGAAGCGTCGAAAGTCCGTTGTCTTCGATAAAACGCTTGTTGTCGAAGGGGTTCAATCCAATTTCTTCTACGACGACACTTTTGTTTTCATTTTGCTTACGAGCAATGATTCTTTGGGTGACAGTGTGCAGAGTTTGTGTCTCGAGAGTCTGAAGGTAGAGATCTTAAGTTAGCTTACGCGACTCGCATCTTTTTACTCCTTTAGCCCTCACACAATGTTCTTGAGACTCTAGATCGAGTGCAGAGAGTTTCGGTTTAAGACAGACAAATCCTAGAATGTGGTCCTTCGGCAGCTCGTTTTTGAAAACTCCAAGTCGCATTTTGTTTTGAAGCGAATACAAGGCGTGGTCGGACGGGTAACCGGAAGTATCTAGGTGGCTCTCGGTAAGCTCTGCGAGCCTCTCGTCAACGTCCCGACCGCTGATTTGGAGGATAAATGAGTCCGTGTCGCTATATGCAGCGCGAGCATCCGGGAAAACTCTCCTGATCTGATTATAGAAGAAATCGTACATGACGATCTTCGACATCTCTAGGATAGAGAAACCTGCATATATGGGCTTGTTCAGGTGCAAAGTTTTCTGTGAAAATTGAAATATGACCACGTTCGGACCGATCGCTGTAAATTGTCTAAGGTTAGGTTTTTGCAGATTTTTTACGACTTCTTCCTCGGAAACGCTAATGACAATGTCGTTGTATTGGCGAGGATTTTCAATCGTCTTTCCGTAGATCGAGTTCATAAAGAGCTTTGACAGATTCTTTTGAAAGGTGTTGGTAGCCTGCTTGCGCAGAACGTGATTGAAGTCGATAAATTCTTTTAGAAAGGCCCGCTGGGAAAACTGCAGGACACGATGAATCTTCTTCAGTTTTAACCCTAGCTGCAGGTACAACTTTAGGTTTCGGAAATGAATATCGTAATTACGTTTGGGAAATAGGGTTAAAAGAAGCTTACGTTCAGATTCTCTCTCGGGTAGGCCAAAGTTTTTCACTAGCGCCTTTTGATAAGACGAAAGCCATTCGAAAGGAACCCCTCGTTTTTCCGGGGCCAAAGGAAAGTCTGCATGCGAGTCGTGTAGTTCCTCTGGATAGTCTAGGTCTACCTCCAAGATGTAACCAGTGGGTGAGTCGTCTGAAACCTGAGCGAACTGAAGGGCATTGATTTCTTCGTGATCGAGCCATCGGAAATTGCCGTACGGAAGTGGTTGTCTCATCGTTTGATCGTAAAGACCGTTCGCATCGAGGTCGAACATTTGAGAAGCATCTTTGTTAGGATCGAACGAGTCGCTGGTTGGAACGTTAGCTCTCGCATGTCGAATTGCACATTGCACGATTCCTCCTCGTAAACCCGATTCGATAAAAAGATATGCGTCGACGTCGTTGAGCAACTCAAGTTTGACCTTTGTTTGCTTAAGCGCACAGGCCAAGCTGAGGGCAGGAAGCGACACGAAATGCAAGGGATCGATCTCGTAGGTTTCCAGGGTCCATTTCCTAAAATGTTTGCATTACGTCGGATAGAAGTAAGCAGTCGAGTTTCAAATAGCAGTCACTGTACTCTCCCACGTTTTTGAACTTGAACGTGTCAAAAACGACCTGGGCATGGTGATAATCCTTCTCAGAAACGTGAGCGTCGTTAAGCTTGTTGTAAAACGACTCACGTGGTGGCAGCTCGGGCTCATCGTAGACGCTGAAGTCGGTTATGTAATCGTAACCAGCCAGCAACTCAATATGTTGAGGAAACGCTTCACGAAGGCAGCGAAAAGTTTCCAAGCCTTTGGAATGGAGGTCCTGCACAAGTGCGTCCAAGCTCGCGGGGAGGAAAGCTAGACTGTCGAGAAACCGTAGGTTACCCACGTCGAGTCGCTTAAACTGTTGACAACTACTGGCGAGAACCTTGATATCTTTTGACTCGAATAGATGTAGTTTCGGTAAAATAAAGGCAAGGTCGTACGAGTGGTTGTGTGCAACCAGGGCAATGACTTTTTTGTTATTCCTGTCGTTTAAATTACAGCCTTTGCACAGCCTGTAAGGTCCGGTAAAATGATCGTTGCCCTTTCTTTTACGTTTGTGGAACGACTCGCCACATACATCACAGTGACTGCCGGAGCTCTGTGTCTTTTTGACCGTTGTGAGATCGCTCCTAATCCACTCGGGAATGAGTTTGGACATTTGATTGAGGATGGAAATGAACTGCTCGACACAATCCTCGCCTCGATACAAGAAACGTTCCATGATTCGTGAGTCTGTAGAACGGATCACTAGAATACAAAACGAGCTGGGTACGTGACTCTCGTAAACGTGATCCGTGTTTTCCGGTTTCAAGATGGCCTCAAAGTCGTAGACACAGAAGTATGGAAAAGGCTCCATGAGGTGAGTGTTACGGAAATAAAGCGCGTCCCCTTTTTTAGGAGAGACCGTTCGGACTGGCTTTTTTTCTTTACACAAGGCAAAATGACTGGTTAGAGAAGTCCGAAAACGAAAACCCATCATGCATCTTTTACAACGGAATCGGTAGCTAGCCCTGTTTTCGAAAAGCCCGGCGAAGTTGGTGATGAGGACAAAGTGGTCGTCAATCAAGAGCAAATCTACATGCTTTTCCAACTCGTGATCGTTGATTTTGAGAGGATAGACAAACTTTTTTTCCCGTTCGTAACCGTACACGTTGATGGACACGCGATTTTTTCTTTCGAAAGTCTCTACGTCTTCTGGAAACGTCACTGGATAGTTTAAAGGAAACGAATATTTGCTCAGATGGTCCCTGTATGAGGAAGCTCTCGTTTTATGTTGAGTGGGATGCAACCCCGCAAGCACGGAAAAGGTGAAGCACATTTTTCTTTCGGAGTCCTTCATGCGTTTGTTCACATTCAAAATACACTGTTTGTTTGCCAGTTCCTTCGGCAAAGTGAAACTTTGACATCCGACCCTCTGTGGAACGAAACGTCCAACTGTGATGCTACATTGTTGGATGGCGACGAGCGCGAAACCCGACCCACGTTCCTGATACTGCTCTAGACGGGCATTTATCTCGCCGCAGGCAAGCTGCAGGGCGCTAGCGATTTTACCCTCGGCCCAGATCGTGTGAACGAAAGAGTGAAAGTAATGCACGCTAAAGTCAAATTCGCCTTCGGAGTTAAGTCGTGTCAGTTCCGCGGTTAACATGATAGAAAAACGCAGCGGCATTCCGTAATGTCTAAATACGTTGGACATTGCATCTGAGTGATGACGGAACAGTGTAGAGACGTCGTGAGCCTCGTCGTCGCGCTCGTGCAAATACATATCATAGCGCATCGTAAAGTTTCAAAAAGCGCAGAGGCCTTCACAAAATGGAATGCAATCTTGATAGGGAACATTATGTGCAAGAGCCAGATGAACTTGTAATGCCTCTGCGCTGGATTATTGTTGCCTCTCCCGTACGTTACACAAGTGACAGGTTACCATTTCTGAGAAAATAAAAAAAAGGACACCTAAATGTCCAACTTCGAGAAGACAATGATGGGTGACCGTCCGTCGCCCTTGCTTTTCTCTAGTACTAATCCCGTCATGTGACGCATATTTTCAAGCTCCTCGTCACTGAGCTCTGAAAATCGTTTAGGCAAAAATACCGTGACAATGTCGTCTGACAGCTGGAGGGATACGAAGACGGACGGTCCGTAACGTGTGTCCAAACGTCCAATGTCTAACACAGGCAGCTTGACATCAGACGGAATCAGATCCATCTTAACAAAGTTTGACGGCGATTTCAAGGAGTTAAGCTTGTCCAGGAGGTTCTCCATCATTGGGTCGGCGGTGGCGGCAGTGGGCTCCTGTAATAAAAATGTATGTTAAAAACAAAATAAACGCGTTTCAAATATTTTCCCCCTCACCTCACGTGTAGTGGCACGCTCTGAAGAAACGGTGGACGTCCGTCAGTTTTATAGCAGCCTGTTTACAAAACGATTGGCACCGCGAGACATGTCTGGACGTGACAGCCTCCACAATCGCGAATTTGACACCGTGCATCGTATTAGGTTTCTGTTGTTTCAGCTTTTCGCTTTAAAGCAATCTGTTTACGAACTGACGAACGGCTGTGCGTGTTAAGTGAGAATTCGACACCTGGGTCGGTTGCTTCTGAGTTTATGGTTATGATAAGCCAGCGCGAGGGAAGCTGGCGGGTCGTCTCATCGTGTATTTTCGTAAGGAAGGTGGTAAAGGTATTCGGCGTATATAGAAAGGTGTAGATACACTGCCTTTCACATTTGCAAACCGGCCGTCATGACGCTCGTTCTCAATAAATTCCAATTTGAGACGCCCGCGTCTGTAACAATGATTGGTTCTTCGAAATCAGGCAAAAGCATGTATATTCGTAAATTGTTGCATTATAGAAAGGAAATGTTTGATAAGAAGTTGGACGTCATTTTCTACGTGTACGTTTACGAGCAACCGTTTTTTAAAGATCACCCGGACGTTGTGTTCACTAAGGACTTTCCGCAAAATTTGGATCCCGAGACAAACTCGCTAATTATTTCCGACAACTTTCTCTCAAATAGGACAAAACTGAAGGAGATATGCGAGTATTTCATAGGCGCTGCTCAGCACTATAACGCCTCCGTCATTTTCATTAATCAGAACATGTTTCACCAAGATTCATACTTTCGAACAATCAGCTTAAATTCTACGGCTCTAATGATATTCCGATCGGTGAGGATTGTCGAACAACTCCAGGTACTATCTCGACAGCTCTTTGGAGGGAAGAGAGGGCATGTCCTTCCGCGTATATATTCGGACGCGTGTAAAACACCATTCAGTTACATCCTGATCGACCTGTCGCAAACTTGCCCCGATAATTTCCGCGTGAGAACAAGATTTTGCCGGACGAGGGACCAGAATTCGTCTACGACACTTCCTCATGAATCGTTTGAAGGGACATGCACGGTTTTTGCACCTCTTGTCCAAAGCTAAATCGCCTAGACAAAGACAAGTCCTTCTTCGTGACGTCAAAAAGGGACATCTAAACATCATTCGCGAAATTTGCTTAAACCTTTGCAGAGGAAACATTCCACTCACACCAATTATAAAAAGGAAGGTAAAGAGGTTTGTACCCCTCATAAGATCATTGGGAAACCGAAAGAAAGGTCACAAGAATATAAAAAGGGTATTGATACAGAAAGCAGGCTTTTTACCTTTGATCCTTCCGGCTCTCTTGGGTCTGTTATCCACGCTCGGAGGAAGAGCTATCGCCAAGGCCATCGGGGTGTGAAAATGAAGAAATACCATCTCATACCTTACAAAGAAGAGCATATTCCTGATATTTTAAGACAAGAGGGGGAAGCGGATGACGTCAAACTGAAAAAAATCATTCAGACGCTTCATAAAAGTTTACGTCCGCACAATCCTGATATTAACAACGTCATGCCTCAGGAAACGACTCCCTTTACGAGAGAACAAATGACGCAGACGAATGATGCCACGGAAGATCGCGATATCAATGCAGTCGTCAATATTTTGAGCAAAACCTATAGGGAAAAATGTCGATCACTTCTAAATTTGTTAAAACCAGTGATTGCATGGGACCCACACACGTTAGAGATTATAATTGACGAGAAGCCTCTCCATGAGTCAAATATCATTGATGTGGTTTCTTATCTAATTTCGCGAGCGAAACAGATGCCAGTTCCCATTCATTTCGAACGTGTCGCGACGCTATTGGTCAAACAAAATCTGCCGACGAGCATCGTAAACTACGATCGCTTTAAAGGAAGAGTGGTCAAAGCAGGATCGACCAGTCGAGCAGGATCCTCCTCTCCGAATATTTCACCGAAGCGTTCCTGGGAGCAGCAAGAATCGTCATCATCGCCGCACTCACCTTCGACCTTCGCTGTTGCTGCTGCAGTGGCCTGTGCTGATCCTGCTCCACGGACATCTAAACGAGTGCTAGATAAGGCATGGAAGATATTTTAGACGAAGATTACTTCAACAACGAGCTAATGTTTTCCTCATTTCCTCCACGTCAAAGAAAGAAGGTTCAGGGGCTCTTGGAGAGCATTTCGTCGGTGATTGCCTACACCCCCGATGGAAAGTTGGTTGTTCACGGAAAGAGGATCGAGGAATCCAACATAATCGATCTACTACGCTACGAGCTCTACAATAGACAACCTTCCTGGGTGAGAGGTGCAGTTTCCGCCGTAATTAATACCTTCCTGGACCTGTCAGCCTTTCGCGCTCAGTCTTACCGACGGAAGTCGAGATGCCGTCGTCAGAGAAGGAAAGCAAAGCGGTCTACTACAGAGCAGCCCATTCCGCCTCCTTCGGTGAAGTCAATAGACTTGCCAGGCATACGGGCCGAAGAACGGCGGAAAAGTTTTTAGAGGGATCTGACGCTTACACCTTGTTTAGGGAAACCAAACGCCCTCATCTATACCGCAAGACGCTGTCCCTGGGACCTCGAGACGTCTATCAGGCGGACCTTGTGGAAATCAAAAAAATTGCCAAATATAATGATGGAAAAAGATACATTTTGTTTGTGATCGATACGTTTTCTCGATTTCTCTCCACCGTTCCGATCGCTCGAAAGACGGGAGAAGAGGTCGTGAGAGCGCTTAAAATCGTCTTTCGTAGGATGAAGAAAAGTAGGCTTCTATGCACGGACCACGGCCGTGAGTTTTACGGGAAATTAGTCGTGTCATATCTGAATAAGCAGGGAGTTAAATTGTATTCTGTGTTTTCGAAGCAAAAGGCTTCCATAGTAGAACGCAGAGCGACCGAGAGAGCTGAGAGAGCCGAGAAGCCGAGCATGCGCAGTGCGCAGCGGGCGGGCGTCAGTTGCGCGACACGGCTGACCCGGCGACCCGGCCAGCCGGCGCCGTCGCGCTGCCGGCGGGATTGGCGTTCGTCGCACTCTGTGCTCGTGGGCATCGAGCGAAACCTACACACTTTCAATTGCTTCGAAAGGTGCGTATACACGACTTTATTACTTGCAGCATTGAGTGCTTTGATGTACGCGGATCAAAGTAAACACCGGAGGACAGAAAGGAGACGTGAAGTTTTTAAATCGCAGCCTTTTTGAACGCATGTGTCCCCTGTTGAAAACCTCTAGCTGTGCTCTGTTGCAGGCGTCATTTCGACTGCGTGTGCTCCAGTGTAACGTCAGTCACTGTTCACACTCGGCTAGCTTTGCCAGTATGTTATCTCATGTGCGAAATAGACGTAGAACCCAGCGCCGCGTCTCTTTCGGATACTCAGCCTCCAGCCCCCTTCCTTCCGGCGTGCTTTCTGCCGCGACCGTTCGGCGCATTGGATTCGCGGGCGCGTCAGGCTCGTTCGAAGCTGGTTCGAAGAGGCGTTGTTTGAAGCTGACGAGTCGCCGAAGTGTTACCGGAGCTTCTCTTTAGAAAAGTCGCAATCGACGCTCGGCGGCTCGGCTCTAAGCTCGTACTTTTCTCCTCCCGGGTAGACCATGAGCGCCGATGAATAAATTTGAAAAACGCTAGCGAGTGACTTTGTGACGCCGCCCAACTGTGCTTCTATCAACAGCGCAGAGCAAATAATGTACAGAAAAAACAAACAAAAAGAAAACGCGTTTTTTTATATTTTGTTGGCCATGTTTCACCTCAACGCAAAGTGAATCGCGGCTGAACGTCGGTTGACTCATTACTGTGCCTAGATTGTAACGGAACCTTTTTGGTGTGATCTTATTCTGATATCGTTATATCTCGCCTTTTCATCTTGGCTGCCCACCCTCTAGACGACATTCTACACATTGCACTCCTTGTCGACATGTCGCTGGTGCTTGAGACTAATTGGAAGTCACTGTTTGCTCACTCCTTGGTGCACATATTTTATGTTCAACATCAGTTATCTGAAGGAGGCTCCATGAAACCCTGGTATTTGTTTAGAGGTACCTCTACATACTGTATTAGAGTGCTGTTTTTTGTGTTGTAGGTTCGTACAAACCCAAATAGCACTTTGTAATATACCTTATGACTGTTTACTACAATTAAAGTTGCAATGAAGCATTGGCCACGAGGGGTAACTCGGCCAACGTGGCCGACAAATTCCTCGCATAATTTTCTCCGTGGGTCATTTTGGATGTTGACAAATTTTCTTGTGAATAATGAGTGTTTCTTCTACTTTTCAGACAGGTACATCAGTTAGATAAACCCCAGCAAAGGCAGCAAGAGAGT